ATAAAAACGTGAATATGTCATAAGTACTTTAGCGTGAACACATCCCGTGAACTAGTGCAGAAGAAGAAATTGCACCAATGAAAAAAAAACATTTCCAAACACAAGAAAATAGAGAAACTCTAAGGGAAGCACAACTCATGATATTGATTAAAAACAAGTGCCCAAAACACATACTAGCAAAGTTAGAATTACCATATAACAAGTTTAGCATCTGAAAAATTAACAATTCTCTTTATGGCTATCTTAATGGTGAACTTATTATAGTACCTAGCCAGAAGTAGAAATTCAAAGTATCCAAGACCAGAAAGTACTGAATAGTGAGTAGCCTGCTATCAAATGGTGAATACCTTCAAAATTCCACTCCACATTTAGTAATGAATTCTCCATAATTTTAGCAACCTTCCTAATCCCTTCACATACCACATAACAAAATGTAATCTAGTAACAAATACATGCCCCTTAAACTACTATTAAGTGTAACTATGAATAGAAAATAGAGCATTTCATATATAAATAAGAAAGCAAAGCGTTACACATATTTCTGGGCACACCCTCCTAGACAAATCATAATGGACACAAAGGATTCGTATAATAGAGTCTAATAAATTTGATAATTAAACATTATTAATAGAAAAATACATAATGAGTCTATGGTTTGGGTGTTTCCAGGTGCATTTAAGGTATTAAAAGCACATAATGAGGCATCACGCTGAGAAGAACCTAGATTACCAAGCACCTAAAACATTACCTGGGAACATTATATTGAAGCAACTTATGGTTCAACTTGTGTTATCCCTTAATGTCTTCATAATATTTTTAAATTATCCAGAAGATTAGTTTGTGGATTCATGGGAAATAGAAAAATAACTATATTGCATAAGTGAGTAGAAAACTTGTCCAACAACATGTCCAACAATCCGTCCAGCAACTTGTTCAAGGGAATTATGAGTTCAACTGCCGGACAAATTTGCAGAGAATAGAGGTATGAAACTATTCAGTAAGGTCACCTTTCTTATTAGGTGCATCACCTTCTCTAATGAAGTTCGCTGACCTGGTTCGATAGACACAAGTGTTATGCACTGTCATTTTGGGCGACGTCGTACTCATTAAGTGATCTGCCTTTCTTGTTAGGCAATCAACAATGTATAGTTTGCATTTTTGGCCATTCTTTCAAACATAAATCCTTACCTTGTCCATTTGCCTTCATAACTGAAAATCATCAATATTTTATCAGAATGGGACAAAATTAGACATTGAAGACACTAATTACTGAGCTAAATTGACCTCAAATGAGTGCAAATCTACCGCTCATCAATGTACACTAAAACTCCACCATTGAGTGAATCTATGCTTATTAGATAAATATTTTTTAAAAGTTAACACACTTCATTAGTTTCTTAAAATAACTTTACTTAGCATGATATTGGTTTAAGTAAATGTTAGAGCAGTTTATGAGTTGGTGCTAATGTCTAACTAGTGAATGATTACCCAAATGGTTAAACATAATATATATCATGGTGCCCTCTACGATCCAAACAAAACTTGTGTACTAGATGGTTATTGTGTTATATGAACTGTTGGGAGTAGTGGTTTTCTTTGTAAGTTTTTAGATATCATGGTGGCTTCGTCGGTCCAAACTGGACTTGTGTGCTAAATGATTATTGTTATAGGCAAAAGGCATAAATTACCCCCTAAACTTGTACCCAAAAGTCATTTACACACTTTAACTAATGGGGCGACCTATTACACACCTTAAGTACATAAACGTATATTTATTTCCCCCTTCCGTCACCCAACCCAGGGAGTGTTTCGCTCCACATAGTTGAGCGCGTCAACACGCTAATAAAGTCATTTTTATTTATTTTTTTAATTAAAAAAACCCAACCCAACAGTTATATTCCCATTCTCTTCATATAACCCACCCACCCGACCCTAATGAACAAGAACCCTAAATTTTCACCCAAAAATCTGAATCAAGAATCTTAAATTCAAACATAGTTCAAAATTCCTTCTTTTGAATCAAAGGTAACTCTTTTTCATTATTATTCATTCATCTCTTTTCCATTTTGATTCATTCCTCTCTTTTTCATTTTGATTTGTTTCTATCTATTTCGTATTTTGAATTTTTAGTTGTTTGATTCGCGGTAATTCTTATTAAGGTGCTACAATAGCTCGAATAAGCTTGACTAGGCTCTGTTTGCAAGAGGAAGATCATGAATTGGAAGAGGTGTGATGCAAACATGGATTTGTGAAGTACTATGCAAACATGGATTTGTGAAGTACTATGTCTCCGACCACTCGTTGTTGGTGAAGACTGAAACTGTATTGCCTTCCTCTTCTTCATCGTTGTCGTCTAAGAGCTGTTTCTCAAGCTCTTGAAGACAATTCATCATCTTTTTATCCGATTCCTGAGACAACAAATTCCTGTACTCAGATGGATGCTCTGTTTTGAACCGGATTTAGAGACGAAACCCCTGTAGAATAATTCTTAATACCTGGAGATAAAAACCCACCAATATTAGCAGGCTGTGACCTAAATTACTGCAGAACAGGTAGAGCGTCGCGCGTGTTCATCATCATAGAGACATTTAAATTCGAAGAAAATTCAGATGAAATTGAAGAAGCAGCAGCATCGGCAACAGAAAAATCTACAGGGGAAAGATGAGACATTGGAGAAGACTGCTGATAACTTCTGGGTTTTACGTTACGGAGATAAAACCCAAGTTGTTGCTACTGTTGTTGTTGTTGTTGTTGTTGAAGTAACATCATCTGCTGTTGCTGTTGTTGAAGTTGTAGAAACTACAATTGTTGTTGTTGTTGAAACTCCGCAAGGGATCACTTACCCATCAAATTGGGTCTCCCTTGATGAACGGTTTGTGTAACCAGGTCAGGCAAAATACCTGATAGCAGTGAAGAATAAGGTCTTTGTGAGTTGTTATTCATGGTAGATCTTCCATTGTTGCTCCCACCAACACCGTAAAACTCGCCGGAGTACCCACCAAACCCTAGTAACCACCGATTTGCTTCCACCAAACGATGAACGCCTCGATCGACAACACACCAATGTTCTTCAAATATGACAGTGAAAACTTGATTAGATGGTTAAAACTACAAGGATACTTCAAAAACACAACAAAATCGAAGAAATCTTTAGCTAAAATTAGGATTTACAGACGAATTTTTTTTATTAGGTTTTGGTGTTCTTAGGGAAAGGAAACGGGTGGGTGGAATAAATGGACTAGGGTAAAATAAAATGGATTTGGGTGAAAAGAATTTGGTTTGGGTGAAAAGAAACGGATTTGGGTCAAATGAATCAGATTTGGGTCTTTTATTACGTGGCTTCACTAGGAGACGAGTGGCTCTCACTCTAGGCATAATGTCCTGGGTTGGGTGACTGAAGGGGGAAATAAATATACTTTTATGTACTTAAGGTGTGTAATAGGTCGTCCCATTAGTTAAAGTGTGTAAATGACTTTTGGGTACAAGTTTAGGGGGGAATTTATGCCTTTTGCCTATTGTTATATATGAACTGTTGGGTTAGCTTGGATTGTTGTTGTGATGTGACGTTTGTATTGTTCGCCTACAAACATACACATGGTGCATATGCATTGAATTTTGTGCCTTTTGAGGCTAGGATCAGGGTGTTCGACTACACCACATGCATTTCATGCCTTTTGAAGCTAGATTTGGGGTGTTCGTCTACACCACATGCATTTCATACCCTTTGAGGCTAGAAGAAATTTGGATTGTAAAATTGCTCATTTGTAATAGCAAGAACAAGTGGGTGGATAGTTCCACCAATTTAATAAAAAAAATTGGTTATCAATTATCACAATTAAACTAAGATTTCGAAGAATTCAAGAATAAACAAGCAATCTATGGGTGCGAGGATTGGAAATCGATGTCATATAGGGATAACTATGCTGCTCTATAGTGATGAACATTTATGAATAGACTAAGTCATCTTCATTGACACTAATCATCATTCAATCTCAAAGCATCTATGCATAGAATCTCCTTTCGGTCTCATCTAATTGCCAATCTAAACAACCCAATATCTTACTCTATTCTCTCTTTCAATGTAGAAATAGGGCGAATAAATCCGACCTATAACCTCTATTTTCAAGCAAGTTACAAACTTCAAACCTATATTGCTAGTATTGGACTAATTACCCACTCAATCAATCTCTTCCGAGCATCAACTGAAGATCGGAAGTAGAAATTAAATTTTCTTACTGTAATTTTTTTATAACTATATTTTCATCTTTCCTATTTTATCCTTCTGCCTTAGATTGTGTTGTGTGATATTTATATTTACATGTGTCGTGTCACAGACTTAAAATCTGTCAAATGCTCGTCTATTGTTGCCATATGGCATGACAGTACATGTATTTTTAGCTTTAACAATGCTTTGCATGCTTCGTTTAATTGTAACAGAAAAGTACTTTGACATGTTCTTCAAATTTAATTTTATTTTCTTATTGAACATTTAATTTTTATTAAACTATATCTTTAAATTAATTACTAAAAAAAGCACGGCTAAATTAATGATTAGTATAAGTATATTATTATCATTTTTATATTAATTGATATATAATTCTGGATTTGGAAAATAATTTGAGAAATAAGTAATTAGTATTAAGGTAAAAACATGAATTTTTTTTTGATATGCTGTCAAAGTAAAAAAAAATAAAAATTCAAATATAAATATAATAATTTCAGATATTATAAAAAGTATAATCAATTATTATAAAAATCATCAACATGAGTTGTGGTGCACTGGTGGGAGTGCTTCACCCTTAACCAGAGATCTCGGAAAATCCAATATGGACTTCGGACACCGAGTGGAAAATCAAAAAAAAATAAAAATTACTATAAAAATCAATTACTTGTAACATTGTATAAAATGGTACATTTGAATATTTTAGTTGGCTTTAACATAAGATACCATTTTTGTCATTTTGTGTTTTAAAGAAATCATAATTGATGTTACCCTGCCCATTTGAATTGATGAAATTACCCATGAAGGTAGCAGCAGCTGCTATAGGGACTCCCTCGTTATTTCCTTGCTGCAATTTTGTTCATTTGCCGGCCTCGACTTCACTTTCACTATCCCCAAGGCTTCCTGCTTCCATCTTCTCGCCTTTGCTCATCCCCATCTCAGGTTTCTCTCTTTCTTTCTGTCTCTCTCTCTCTATATGTGTGTCAAACTAGGTAAATGATCTATTTCTCTGCTTCATACGCCAAAGTACGGTCATTTTATTTTTTTGTGTGTGTGTCTGACCTTTAGATGGAAACTTAAAGGAGTGATATGTGAAACTGATGGAAAATGGTTACATGTGTATTAGCAATACTTTTAATTATAGGTGAAAATTCTATTTTTCTGCTTCATCAACTTTTCAAAATCAATATCTATGTGCCAATAAATATAATTTTGATGGTAAAGCCTTTTTCCCCCTTTTAGATGACTAGTAAGGAATTGACTACAGGATAATGAATAGATGGGTTTTACCTTCCTTTTGTTATAGGTAAATATTCTATTTTTCTGCTTGATGGACCCTCCAAAAATGTTTATGCAAGGGTTTTTGCAGAAATAGGATATTAATGTAAAATCTGGGCTTGTTCTTGTTGCCTAAAGACGACAATTGAGTGACTGAAATGTGAAAATACAGAAATATGATTTATCATACTTCTTGTTCCATGTGTGCCCACTCTGGTATTTGCTCAAATGGATTTCAAAGAAAGCCTTTTTCATTTTCTTTGTCCCCCCATTTAAAATGTGAAACAACTGGAGAATGATAAAATAAGCATTTGATATGTTTCATTCTATTTGTTTGTCTTTGGATTTTGCTTAATTGAGTATCAACTTAGATGGATCAGTTGTTTCATGAATAGTATTAACTTTACAGGGAGGAAGAAGTTATTCTTGCGTGCTGAGAATCTTGATTGTGAGAGCGTGGAACAAATGGATTTGAAGAAGGAATTTCCTGAATTAAAAAAGGATCTATACCCCTCTATAGAGCCATATTGTACTGGGTTTTTGAAAGTTTCGGACCTTCATACTATATACTGGGAGCAGTCAGGAAATCCTAATGGCCGTGTGAGTTTTTTTCTATTTTTTCTTGTATTAAGATGGCACAACATAATCTTTCTATTGCCTATAAACAGTCAAGTACATCAAAAATGTCTTCTATTTGAGCTAGTACATCATGTTTACACCAAAAGTAAAAAAGTGCTAAGCAATTCATTTTGATCTTCTGCAAGTTGTTCTGTGCATCCTCAAAACACCTCTTGTTCCTTCCTGTCCAAATTGTCCACCATATATATGCTGGGACAATCTTCCATCTCTCCTCCTTCTCTGTTGCATTGCCATCCCTGTTCCAGCTGCTTAGGACCCCTTTGCTCCCAGGTTTTACCCACTTGATCCCCTTCATGAACATTCTCCATAGTTGCTCTGTCAATTTTGCAATGCAAGAAAAGGTGGTTGATTGTCTTTGTTTGCTCCCCACACAAAAAAACATCTGGAAGCCAACATTTGTGAACTTACATTCGTCCACAAACTAAGTTCCAAAAGGGGAAGTGGGATGTTTATACAAGTCTCAGAGTAAATTAATAAAGTCTAATTGTAAATTTGCAAGTGCAGCATCAGATAATGATTTTAAAGGCAAAAAACACAGAGAAGTATCAAGATTAGAAGAACTTGACGTGAAAAGCGAGTAGTGCAGTGCACACTCCTTTGAGCCGAAGCGCACGACTTATAGAAAATAAAGAAGTACCAAACATATATCAATGTAGTTTTTTAGTAGCAGAAGACATCGATGTATTAGTGTAAGTAAATACAATCCATGTAATTGCAGAAACTATCAAAATCAAAGAACTTCATTCTCGATTCTACGAGAATTCTTATGAAGCCTTTCATTTGCTTCTCTTCAATGGAAGTTTCTAATTTTAGCCTCCAATGTACAATAATGCCGATATTATTTGAACTCCTTGAAGTTGAGATTCAAAAGATTGACCGCTTCTCATTGGGATCACTTCACACGTCATTATTTCAAGCGCACACTTCTCTGAAGCACATGAATTTTCCCATGAAACGATAACCCCTCGCTTCACATCAATTGACCGTTTCAAGCAAAGAGTTATAACTTTTAATAACACTGGTATCAGATTTCTACTCATACACGTGGTCCATTTTCTCAGAGGAGCCCCAGTCCTCCTCACTAGAAGAAGATAAGAGGCTCAGGAGACTAGCATATGATGACTACATTTGCTTATAGCTCTACATATGATTAATCTGTTTCTATTTTTGGTAGAGAACATTGTTTATTTTTTTGGGTCAGTGATATAAGCCTATTCCAATGTAGGTTATATGTTTTTCTTGTTTTCTACTCTCTGATGCTTTCACATGATGCAAAATAGGGTGAAATTTGTTATTTTTAGCTAAGATGTTTGATGTAAAGTCATTTTGAAGATATGTTCCATATTTGCAGCCAGTAGTGTTTTTCCATGGAGGCCCTGGAGGTGGGACTTCACCCAATAACAGGAGGTTCTTTGATCCTGTCTTCTATCGAATCATTCTATTTGATCAGGTTGATATTATTAACTAAAGTGCTAATTCATGCACTTTGTGCCTTTTCAAATGTGAGCTAAGAGTCTATCGGTAACAACCTCTCTACCTCTGAGGTAGGGGTAAGGTCTGCGTACGCTCTACCCTCCTCATGCTCCCCTGACTACACTAGGTATGTTGATGTACTTTTTCAAATGAAAACAATGGTATCTTCCAGAGAGGTGCGGGTAAAAGTAAGCCTCATGCTTGCTTGGAGGAGAACACAACATGGGATCTCGTTGGGGATATTGAAAAATTAAGAGAGCACTTAAAGATTCCGGAATGGCAGGTGCAAATCGTTCTCCTTCTGTGACTGCTAGGTCGATGGTACTTCATAAGCCTCTCATAGGTGTGAGTTTGCAGGTATTTGGTGGCTCATGGGGAAGCACTCTGGCTCTTGCATACAGCATATCACATCCTGAAAAGGTCTACTAGCAATTATTCTTTAAGTTCCAAGATTTGTAGTTCAAACTTGTTAGAGGAAGTGATAGATTCTATTCCCAACATCATGTTAAATCTACGTTATTGCTAAAGATTTTAAATGACCTTTCTGTTAAAGGTTACTGGGATCATTCTTAGAGGGATATTTTTGTTGCGGAAGAAAGAAATTGACTGGTTTTATGAGGGTGGAGCTGCTGCAATATACCCTGATGGTAAGCTTCTGAATTTCATGCATGCTGGGAGACCAGCCAACTGAACCTAGTGCACAGTTGTATTGAGTTGTTATAGAATCTGAGAAGTGTAAACTATTTCATCTGCTGCTGGATACAAAAGTAAGGAATTTAGCACGGGCATTCCTATTTGATTTTTCCATATGAAGATGACGAACAACTTTTATATCTACTTTTGGATCTTTGCAATACTCACTCGGAAGCCATTGTTTTAGCCAGTTCACTATTTCAAGTGTACAAATGAAATGCATTCTCAAGAATATATGCCTATTTTGCAATTTCTGGCAAAGTTGTGATTATCTGAGGCGCTTCTTTTAACCAACCTTTTCACCTAAGCAGATGGCTCATACTGTTTAAGCACATTTTATTAAGTGGTTAATTGCTTACCTAAATTTGGGAAAATGATAAGTGTGTAGATCTGATCATCATTGAGTTGCTGTTTTCACTTGGTTGGTTGTTTAATGGGACTGCTGATGTGGTTTTCAAAGTTAAAACTACCTTTTCTGTCATCTGTTACAGTTTGGGAGCCATTCAGAGATCTGATTCCAGAGGAAGAAAGGAAGTGTTTTGTCAAGGCTTACCATAAGAGATTAAATTCAGATACCCTAGAAACACAGGTAAGAAGTTACTGTTTCATTGCATGTCCTAGTTTCTTTTATTGTTCCTGACATTTTTGAATATGTTAAAATTTCCTTTTTTTTTATGGGGGGATAAAATGTTAAAAAAAAGAAAAAATTAATTATTTGCTCTTTTCCCTTTGATATCCTTGATGTTTCCCTTACACAACCCCTGAAACTTTCTAACAAAATATGCAGGTGTTGTGCTTTCTATATAACTTGATTTTACTTGAATTCTCGACAATGGTAGAAGCTCTGTTTGTTCCTTTGTTAGCACCAGACAAGTATTGTTCTTAGGATAGAATGTTTGAAGTACTCATAACTACTGCACAAAATACACCATGCTCCTTTTTTCAATGAAGAAGTCACAATTTGGTGGCTTCAGAGTTTTAAGATGTCATCATGACTCATGAAAATATATGACAGCAAAGTTGGAAGCACAAAGGATTTTAATATGATAGGAAGCAAAGAAGATATGACATCGGTTTGTGTCTGCAAACTGTCAGTGACAGTTTCTGATCCTTGCCCCCACAACATCAAATCAACTCCACATATTGCTATAATACTGTTAAATACATTAAACCACTTGTTTGCTTGTCTCAAGTTCTTGAATGTTTTAGTATGCAGCAGCTAGGGCATGGACTAAATGGGAAATGATGACCTCTCATCTTCTCCCTAATGAAGAGAACATAAAGAGAGGAGATGATGATGATTTCTCCTTGGTGAGTACATCTATGAAGTGCATGTAGTATCCGGGTGACCTTCCCATTAAAGCATTGTTCTTTTGCATCTATATTCTTAAAACTCTATCTAAGAGCTGCAGTTTTACTGTTTTCCTTATTTCTTGTCTACTGGGAACTTGAAATTACACTATTTTTGGAAATTCAATGTGTACAATTATTTATCATCATAGAGGCTGTTATCATTCATTATATAACCTGAACATATCTTGCTTTTTTCAGGCATTTGCAAGGATTGAGAACCACTACTTTATCAACAAGGGATTCTTCTCTTCAGATTCTTTCCTTCTAGATAATGTTGAAAAGATAAAGCATATCAAAACAATAATTGTTCAGGTAAATTCTGCTTTTATTTCTGCTTTAGCTTTGCATTGCCGTCTCAAAGTTCAAGATTCCCCCAATACGTGAAGGCCTTGTCTGGAGACATAAAACATCTGAAAGACTTACTTTTCTTCCCAATGATGGATGCAATTTTTTTTTTGATAAGTTTATTTGTGGAAAATGTGATTGAAGACTAACAGAAAGAACATAATGGAGGACTTACATAAAGAACATATGGTAAGGGATGAATGTTTGCCAGCATTGTTCTGGTATGTCCCAAATCTGACGCTTAAGTCGTGATCAGTATCCAATGAGCTACCACCAATGCTAGACATACCCGACTGTACTATGAACTGCTACAATATGTGGAAACAATACTAAATATCAAGTATAAAAGCGTTCTCATGATAAATATCTGAAAATGAGTAAAAAGTCAAGTGAAAATGTAAACCCCAAAAAATTTCGGAGTCATGGAGCAACTAAGAATCTGAGATGCCACTATATGAGACACAACTCAAAATGAAATCATACGTCTATGAGGCCTCTAAACTATGCATAAGAAGTAGAAGTGTCGGGACAAGGCTCCAACATAGGGTATGAAAGTACGTAATACATGGAATAAAAAAGGAAAATGCCCTGTAAACCAAATGGGGCTCACCAATGAGAGTGCCTAGCATGGAGACTTGTTGTCTTGAGGATTCGTACTTGCATCATGAAATGTAGTTCCATAGAGCTCAAATCATAAGAGACGCATCAAGTGTGTAGATAAGAAATCGAAGAGATTATGAGAATTCGAGATTAGAGAATGTCAAATTAGAAAGGTTTTCCTTACCTCAAGTGCTTCAGAGCTAATGGTAGTCCCATAGTTCCAAATGAGCCCACGAATGATAATCCCGACTCCAAGTTCAACAACTTGACACAATGATTTTGATATTTGACTACCCAGGTCAAGATAGTAGTCCTTTCTTGGAGACTTAAGATGAACTTGATGAAGTAATATCTTCTGTGAAAAGTGTGGCCATTGGTTTTGAGGTTGTGGGGAAATTTATCACTTGCAACAATCTTGGGAAGGTTCGTATTTTCCTAAAATGTCTAATGGGGACTAATATATTAACCTAGAGTTGAATTTGGTATCATTGAATCCATCGAAATCTCAATGTTGGTTTACTTTCGTTAACTATTAAGAATTCTTGTATTCATTTTTATATAATAAAAGGAATTGGTCCATAAATCAACAAAATAAACTTGCTAATTAGTTTGATATAAGATTTAAGTGATGAGCGAAACTACAAAAGTTCTTGGCAGGGCATGTGTATATATGCATATATATTTTATAATTAATTCTCATTAAATTCTCTAAATGGATAAACTTCTAAATATCTAATTCTTATTAAGTTCTCTACATGGTTAAACATCTAAATACCTCTGATTAAAGCACTAATCAATTATAAATATATTATGAAATTAAGATATACACTAACACTTCATAAAAATTAAGTCATTTAGAAAATATATTTTATCAAATTCTTTTATTTTTCGAACCTAATCTCAAGAGTACAATTTTTTTTCTTTTGAGAAAAGTTCCCATTCTTAGGATATGTAAATTCTTGTCTTTTGACTTCCTCACGTCATGTATATAATTTAAGGCATATCCAAAGTCTGGGTGTTATGACAGGTAGATAGCATGATAGTATAAGTGTGAAATCATAGAATAGAAATAACAAAATAGGGGGTCCACAGTGGTTGAAACTACCCAAGCAGCTCACCCTGAAGTCTCCAAATACCCTTATGAAGAATTGTTTGGGTCTTAGCTTAGAGATTTTCAGGGTGTTACACACAAATCCTGCCTCCGATCCTCAAGACACCATCAGAATCAAGGACAGCCTCCTTGGCTTCCGTGCTCATCACTTTGTCTCGAATGAGACACAACTTCTCATCATCAAACTAGTTCTCACGGATCTGCTCAACTAAGGAAGACCGGGCCTCTATGAAAGCAATCAAACTACCGCTCTCCTCAGAAATCTAAGCTCCTAAGCCCATACCCAAGCTCCACTGGTGCAAGGGTCAACATAGCACTAAAAGTGCAGCAAGTGCAACACGAGACAATAATAATGTGTACTCGATAGTATTTTTTTTGATAAAGATAATGTTGTATTCATCAGCATTAAGGATATGCTGGAGACCTCCAAAATTTGGTTTCCAACAAGAGAAAAAACAAAAAGGCTAATAGATTACAAAGTGCCTATAAAATCCAAAATTTGTGCAGCTTCTTCTATCCCTTCCTCTTTACACCAAAAATAAAAAGTAGTCAAGCAGTTCCATTTGACTTTCTCTATTGAATTAGCTTTGTTATCATAGCATCTGCTATTTCTTTCTTTCCAAATACACCACCAAATGCATGATGGTATTATACTCCACCACTTTTTCTTAGATTTTCTCCCCCCTCTGCTGATCCAGCAACTAAGTAGATCTGATGTATGCTCAGGCATAATCCAACTAAAAATACTCACATTCATAACCGATGCAATAAAATAGAATTTACTAACAAAAAGAGGGTGCACTTGTAGCAAATAAACTATGGCATGTACGACATGATTAAATATGCACAAGCACAACATTTAAGTGAAATGCATGCTCATGAGTCATAAATCAAATACCTTGTATTTAGCCTCTGTAATTGTTGGATACATCTAAAGTGCCATTATGACTGCTATCCACTGCCACTAACCTTATCTACTCAAGCATGACTGTTTGGAACCATAAAGCACCACCATGAATTTTGTTATTAGTCATCCATCTAATCATGATGCTTTGGTCACTGAAATCTGCTATTGTTCATTAACGTCATTACCATCATAATATGATGGGTCCCTGGGTTGGTCGGAAGGAAGGAGGAAGGAATAAGAGTTTCTGTAGTTGTATTGAAGATCAGCATGGTGAGTAGCTCTGTGGTATAAAGACAAATATGAATAGGGACAGGAAGGAGAAGAGTATGATAGAAATGAGATTGCTGGATCAAATATAAGTAGAAGGTTTTATTTCATGTCAGATTTCTGAAGTTTAGTTATGTGATTTAAATATTTAATAGAGTATTTATTTTCTTTTAAAGTATATTTTCATTGCCACATTTTCCCTATAACCTACTAATACAGTTTAAATGATCATACAAGTAAAGAGCTGGTTAAGGCTTAATCATATGTTGCAAGAAATGAAGTGCATTAAATTTCCATAGTGCTTCTTGATGTGTTTATCATGTGAGTTTTTACCTAGAACATCCACCAAGTGCAGTTGAGAACTGTTCAGTCCTCAGTATTGAAGCTAATAACTGAACATGCATTTTCAAGTAGTCAGATGTGACTATGCTCGTCTGTTTTCTTGTCATTATATATTGTCAATCCAAGACGTATATTCCGTTTATGTTTCAACTTATGATCCTGCACTAAATGTGAATCTTATATATTATGCATGTACTTGAGGTAAATTGTATTCTTGGATAATCTGATTACAAGAAAATCTTTGTAATACCTTCAGGGAAGATATGATGTTTGCTGTCCAATGATGTCAGCATGGGATCTTCATAAAGCTTGGCCAGAGGCAGAGTTCATTGTAAGTGAAAAATGATTTCCTCAGTTAGGTAGATTTATTAATTCAAAATAATTGGAGGGGAGGAGTTTTGAGACAAAGACTTCCGCCGTTGACGCAGGAGGCAAGGAGGCACAAAAAGATAGGGTATTATCTTTCTGGGCCGCCGTAAAAATATTAGCCAGCAAATGTATATGTTTTGTATATTTGGTACAAATATACATATAATATACATATTGTATGCATAAATATACCTGATCAGGAATATGTTGTATCTGGACTAGTGCTTGTAATTAATTTGGACCAACAAGCGAAAAATGAATAAAATTCCAAAAAGATCTGCCAACAACTAAACTTGAGGAGGAGGTTATTTATTTATTTTTCTTAACCCAACAGGTTACAAGACAAAAATAATAATCGAAGGGGCTTGTACAAGAGTTATGTTAAACTGGCAGTGGAGACATGAAACAACAAAAGGACCTTCGGGTATAAAACTGGTAGATTTTCCCATATGATTTGAGATTTCTATGAAGAGTTGGGATGGGAATCAGACCAAATAAACATTAATTTCATGTGAAAATCCTGTAGGTTGATTTAAATTTGGATATGGGACAGGAAAACTCATCCAACTCAAGACATGTAGTTAAGGAATGAGTTCAATCTTATGGGTTATCGGATTTATTCTTTAGGAAGGCCTGGTTTGAATGGCCTAACCTCTAGGGATTTGGATGATACTTTTAGCACTATAGATTACCTTGAAAAAAATAATAGCTGAAGAAATGAGGCTTTTTTAACTTTTAAAGGAACAGGGTTTTCATAAAAGAAGGAAGATTTTACACCTTGGATACATGATCATATTATTGGCAACTGACAGTTTCTGCTGTGTGATTATAGGTTGTCCCAGGAGCAGGTCATTCGGCAAATGAACCAGGAATAGCAGCAGAACTTGTTGCGGCTAATGAAAAACTGAAAAATGTCCTTGAAGGAGTTTCTTGAGTGCAAGTGCCTACTAGTCATTGACTTTAGACTTTGGCATGGATGTTTGTGAGAGTTAGTATTGTAGATACTTGCATTCCAGTATTCTAGGTTTGAGTCTCTTCACAAATGAACTAAGAACAGCACCACATGTGTGGAAGAAAGAAAGTTTGCCTAAAAACAATGCCACGAGTTCTCTCCCCTTTTATATACGACTATTGGACGAGGCTAATTGAAAGAGTTCATTTGTGACATCCCATGTGTGGGGGAATTATTGATACTTCCTACTCATTTTATGTGCTGCTTTATATCCTAAACCCCAACAGCTACACTTGATGCTAACTTTAGCCCCTTTCTCTATCTGTATAATTATTATTCCTCTCCTCGATGCACCGAAAAAGAAATTCGGAAGCACGTAACTATGAAGGATATGCATAAAATATGATCATAAGAAGACAATCTCTTTTAAATATGACCAAGTTAGATCATATTAAAACTTTTAAAGAATCATAAGTCATGAATATGGTCAATGCATCTTAAAATCATATTGAAAGCTTCATAAAATCTTTTAAGAACAACTTAGTTCATTGTGGGATATTTACGATTAACTGACATAGACCAAGTGAGTATAATGTGAAATTCGGTGTCTTGTTCCCACACCGAAAAGAGATGTCCTTACTTTTCATTTTCCAAGGCAAGGACCTTAACTTCTAGCTTAGATGGATCCACTAGCTATGACTTTCTAAGAAAAACCTACAAGGACACGTAGTTAGGGACAAGGAGATTGCTACTAAAAACTCGGTCTCTACAAATGGGAGAGTCTCCATCTCAATATCCTCTCGGTGCTAAGCAAAAATCTCAATGGAATAGTTATATTCATAAATTTATCATAATACATTGAAAAACACAATCAAGTTACTAATTCAAGCTTAAAATATCAGAGTAGCTCCTTAAATCATTAATCATGCATGTGTGAGATAACCTTTCACCAAATCATGATTCCTTAACATGTGAGAAAATCCTTTCAGGATTTCATTGATGATCATAAAACATTCATTTTCATAAATCATGCATAACTTTTATGAAAACATCATTCATATATTCATAGTTTCTTCATAAATTCATGTTATTAAGGGTTCATAATCAAAATCATGAATGATGCATGGGTTCATGTGAAAGCAATTGGAAAGCATGTAATTGAGACCAAACAATCGTAATAAGATTAAAATCAAATAACTGAATCAATACAATTTGAACCCATGAAGAATTGAATGAAAACCTAATTAATTTGATGAAATTGAACTTGGAGAATTGAGAAACCATTGGGTCTCAATTGGTGAATGAAACTCATTGGTGAAATCCTACATACCTTGAGGATCGAATCCCAAAAGCAATGGAGGAATAGGAGACTTGAAGCTTGAAACCTAGTGTTCTTCGTAGACTTGAGAAAAGAAGATGGATGTGGATGGGATTTGGGGATTTGAGTGAATGAGAGAGTTGGGGTAATTTTAGGAGTAAAAGGATAGTTATAAGACATAGAATTAGGATCAAAACGACATAGTATAGGAATTAAATGCATAGGAAAAGACTCAAATACCTTTTAGAAATAACTGTCGGAGGACCCTACAATTTGGACCTACAGACCGTTGTATTGGTCAACTGTAGGTAGAGTTACTGGGGCCTAAAATTTGCCAGCTTCCTACAATACCCTTCTACGGACCATCTAAATTACTATGATCCATAGACCCCATCCGTAGACCTCAACTTTAACCCAAAAATTTCACTAAATCAAGAACACCCCTACAAAACTCATCAACGACTCGTTCAAATTTCTACGGCTCGTCCTATCCATTCGAAGGTCAAACTTCAGAAACATGAATTCAAAAATTCACCTCCAAGTCTACGACTCCCTTCCTACGATCCATAGAACCTCCTACGTTCCGTAAAAAGGACTCATAGAACCTCCCTTAGAGCCAAAATTTGAACTTCCCCTTTTTCAACTCAACTTTCCAATTTCTGAGGTATTACAATATCTCACCCTTGAGAATATCAAGCTAGCATGATAAGACCATAAAACATTCATTTTCATAAATCATGCATAACTTTCATGAAAAAATCATTCATAGATTCATAACTTCTTCATAAATTCATGTCTTTAAAGGTTCATAATAAAAATCATGAATAATCCATGAATTCATGTGAAAACAATTGGAAAACATGTAATTGAGACCAAACAATCATAATAAGATCAAAATCAAACAATTAAATCAACACAATTTGAACCTATGAAGAATTGAATGAAAACCTAATCAATTTGATGAAATTGAACTTGAAGAATTGAGAAATCCTTGGGGATCAATGGGTGACTGGAACTCATTGATGAAATCCTGCATACCTTGAGGATCAAATCTAAAAAGCAATGGAGGGATAGGAGACTTGAAGCTTGAAACCCTAGTATTCTTCTTGGACTTGAGAGAGAACTGGAGAAGATGAATGTGGATAAGATTTGGGGATTAGAGTGAATGGGAGAGTTGGGGTACTTTTAGGAGTAGAAGGGTAATTATAGGACATAGAATTAGGGTCAAAATGACATAGTAGAGACATTAAATGCTTAGGAAAATACCCTAATACCCGTAAGAAATAGCTACCGAAGGACCCTATGGTTTGGACCTACGGACTGTACTGGTCAACCGTAGGTCGAGTTATTTGGGCCTAAAATTGTCCAACTTCATATGTCACCCTTCTAATTAAGGACCGTCTAAATTACTACAGTCCTTGGACCTTATTCGTAGACCTTAACTTTAATTCAAAAAATTCACTAAGTCTGAAACACCCCTACAAAACCCATCTATTACTCGTTCAAATTTTCATGACTCGTCTTGTCCATTTGTAGATCAAACTTCAGAAACTTGAAATTCCAAAAACTCACCTCCAATTCTATGATTCCCTTCCTATGACCCGTAGAACCTCCTACGGTCCATAGAAAGGATTCATAAAACCTGCCTTAGAGCCAAAATCTCAAATTTCCCTTATCAACTCGATTTTTCAATTTCTGAGGTGTTACCAATATATATATATATATATATATACATATATTTATTTATTTTTTCTCTTTTTTTTTAACGGTTATCCTACTTAAAAATATCAACAATTCTTCATATTTATTAAAATTATAAACCCTTCATTAAAAACTTTTAATAACATTAACATCTATATGTTAAATGTAAGATAAATGTCCATGTGGCTCTTTAATGGGACCCACCCCTATTTCCAAGTTAAATATCCAAATTTGGTGCCCAAGTAGTATCACATACGGTAACTCTCTCTTTTGCCCAAGTAAGCAATTTTCTAGGCCTATAAAATGGTCATATTATAGTGAAAACAATAACAAGGTTCTCCCTCTCTCAATTTATTATATCAGTGAGCAACATACAATTCTCTCTTCTCCTTCTTTCTTCTTATTTAGTTTAGTTAATTACTTTTATTTATTGTATAACACGTTATCAGCACGACTCTAATTTTCTATACATAAGCTAAGGTATGATGATTTTCTACTTATCTTTCCTTCAATATCTTATTTGCAATACGGACTGCAAACTTTCAATTTGGATACTTATATATTAAAAGAAATTGCATTGTAAGTTACTTAATTAACAGTTTGAAAGAAATATCACAGTTAACATGTATACTGTGAATTATTCTTCATGTTAAACTTTATTACAGGAAGGATATTTCAATTCATAGTAGAGTTAGGTATTTGAAATTAGTAAAATATTAAAAAATAAATAACGGGGATTAGGTAATTGTGAGGGAGTTAGTAGAGTTTCTGATCCATCTTGAAATTTATTCTTTGTAAAATAAATAAATAAATTATGTGTGTAAATTATAACAGTGAAATAAATTTTTTGTAAATGGAAGCATGTTCGATGACCTTGAAAATAAAATTATATTCTATGAATCTTTTGTGTGTTTTTTGTCGGGCGTTAAATACCTATACACTTTGATAGTATGTGTGGTATCTGCTTTTTTGCACCACATCTCAATATAAAATTATAATCTCGATAATAATTATTATAAATGTAACTCACATGAACTTTAGTAGAACTCATGAGAATGATTATATTTCATGTTTTCTTGAAACTAATTAATTCACTTGGACAATGTGCGAAAGCCCGATCCAGCAATATCGCGTGAGTGAAGAAGGGCAATGCCGCTTGTAAAGCTCTTTCGTCGACTGCGTGATCATGACATGAATCGAGGAAGAAGCCTCGGCTAACTCCATGCCAGCAACCGCGGTAAGACGGGGGGGGGGCAAGTGTTCTTTGGAATGGCTGGGCGTAAAGGGCACGTAGGTGGTGAATCGGGTTGAAAGTGAAAGCTGCCAAAAACTGGCGGAATGCTCTCGAAACCAATTCAACTTGAGATCTACGAAGGAACGCCAAAAGCGAAGGCAGCTCTTTGGGTCCCTACCGAAGCTGAGGTGTGAAAGCATGGGGAGCGAACATGGATAGATACCATGGTAGTCCATGCCATAAACATGAGTGTACGCCCTTGGTCTACGCGGATCAGGGGCCCAGCTAACGCATGAAACACTCCGCCTGGGGAGTACGGTCGCAAGACCAAACTCAAAGGAATTAACGGGGGCCTGCACGAGGTTATATTTAAGGACTCCAGTGTGAATTCTAATATATTTTGATCTATTATGCCTCTGTCTTTAACTTTCGTTTTTATTGCTATTGGTAACATGATGAAAATTGAAAAAATTAAGTTATCATGTAAAGTTATGAAATGTATTACATAGAAAGTTAACGGATATATGAATTCAATATGATTGTGTGTCTTTCCTAATCCATTGATAAAGTAAATCTTTGCACTATCTCTTTGGAGTTTAATTATTCACTCAATTGATTTACATAGTTATTTTATTTTTTATTTATGCTAAATGATTATATTCTCCTTTTCTTAGCCATGATATTTGATATTAAATCTAAAAATTATGTTGGTTTGGCCTATTATACTGTTGATTGAGGGTAAGACATCGATTAAAGTCCCGATGCACTATGATAATAAGATTTTGGGTTTAAGTCCCTTCGTATTTTGGCCTAATGCGTCTTTATATGGATAAGACATTGGATTAAAGTCTCAATGCAATATATTGATGATATAATGATGACTGAGAAAATCGATATGCTCTTGATAAAAGTCCGTCCCATTGAATATGTTCCATTCTTTAAAGTGAATGTGATAGCAATAC